GGGGGATGTGGAGAGGGATAGAGGGGGGATGTGGAGAGGGATAGAGGGGGGATGTGGAGAGGGATAGAGGGGGGATGTGAAGGGGGATAGAGATTCCACGGGAAAATCAGTTATACACTCAACAAATGACCCATAAACTGAATCACAATTAAGTTCCAATTTGTTTTGGCATACCCAATAATTTTCACTGGGATACTGTATATACATGTACACATGTTTAATGTGTAAATCTCCTTCTATGTGGGAAGAATGAGTTGTCGGTGTAAAAATAACGCCCTTCAGGAAGAATGAGCTGTGAAGATCTTACCCTGCGGGGAGAGTGATTTGTCCTCCTGTCCAGCCAATGGAGGAGAAGAGGACAGAGTAGGGGTAAACTGTGACTCTCCCCTTCTGATCGCGGTTAGAAAAGTCGTTGTTCCTGGTACACATATAGTGGTATGTCCCAGTCTGTGTGACCATCCTGAGGCCGTGGTCAAAGTATGGTCCTGCATCGTCCAGCTGGGATAATTCCCCACCAAACTGACCTATTATAGTCAGGTATTTAATATTAGAATAACAGAGTCAAAATAAGGTTGCTTCTTAAATAAACTCTTGTGATAATAATGAAACTGTCAGAATGCAAAAAATAACAGAAAGTTCAAATTTTCTCAAATTTTTTAGACTTAAGATCAGCCTCTGATCAACTACATAAAATAGTTCTTTGGTCATTTTCAGTGGACACTTAAAGACAGAAATATTATTAAAACCAGAACTAGAATGTCCATGAGGCCATACAGGGCATTATGCCCCTTTAACCTTTAAAATTAGTATCAAGGAAATCCAACCACAAATGACGCTGCAGCAGCGCTGCCTTGACAAGACTTTTCTATGTATAGCTTATGTAACCTTGACCTCTGATGATAAAACTGAACTATGAAACTCTTTAAAGCTGCCTTTTCTTGCTTAAATAAAAGTGAAGGTTGGGCTTTAAAGAAACTTTTTTAGCTTTAATAAAAGATGTATCTAAATATTTGCTAGTATTGTGGTACCAGTTTTCTTACCTGGCGAGTTCATTGCGAGATGACCTAGGTCAGTTCTGGACATTCCAAGAAAACTGGAGTTTGTAAGATGGTCAGGGTAGTTGTTACCATAGTGACCAAACACTCTGCCTGGGCCGAATTGTACCCCATTGCCTTCTGGGAAGTTTCTGGGGCGCAGCTGTACAATGTTGTTTCTGTCTGTACGAGCAAGGCCATTTCCTTCGTTGTTAGGGTTATTCGTGTTAGAACCTGTCCACCTGAAAATAAATGTTCGAGCACTTTACAGCTATGTAAAAAGTTCTCTGACCAGTGTAGAAATGTCTTCTACTCAATCTGTTCTTCTTAAATCAAAATTGTCTCAAAATTTATTACAAGATATCTTGTTATAGGTGATCTCATTATTTCAGGGACAAAAATACAAAGACAAAGAAAGGGTTTTGCAAGGGACTTAATTTCATCTATTACTCCCAATGTCTTATAGCAGCTGATCTCATTATGTGTAAAGTTGAACGTATGGTGGAAATAATGCAAACGTGATACAAGAATGACCAATACACTTAAATAACACTTACATCTATCATTCTTCTCAATCCTCAATACCAGAACCATCATCGATTTGGATGAGGAACATAGTATTATTACCAACAGTGCAAAACAGTTTAGTGAATCACTCCCCTATACATTCCACTGCCTTGATACTAGTGTGTATTATAAGTTTCAGCAGAATCGTTAGACTCGGACCAAACATTACAAGAGGCCCAGAGGGCCTGTATCGCTCACCTGGATATTTGAGCAAACATTGTAAAATATTCTCAATAAAAGTACTTTTGCAAATGTTTCGAAATATTAAGTCTCCTTGGCTTAAGAATGTTCCTGAGGAGAGCTCCAGGTTGTTGGGTACAGCAGTATACTTACTGTATATGTACAGCCTCCCCTGAGGAGAGCTCTAGGTTGTTGGGTACAGCAGTATACTTACTGTATATGTACAGCCTTCCGCCGAGGAGAGCTCCAGGTTGTTAGGTACAGCAGTATACTTACTGTATATGTACAGCCTCCCCTGAGGAGAGCTCTAGGTTGTTGGGTACAGCAGTATACTTACTGTATATGTACAGCCTCCCCCAAGGAGAGCTCCAGGTTTTTTGGTAAAGCAGAATACTTACTGTATATGTACAGCCTCCCCCAGGAGAGCTCTAGGTTGTTGGGTACAGCAGTATATATACTTACTGTATATGAACAGCCTCCCCCGAGGAGAGCTCTAGGTTGTTGGGTACAGCAGTATACTTACTGTATATGTACAGCCTCCCCCGAGGAGAGCTCAAGGTTATTTGGTACAGCAATATACTTACTGTATATGCACAGCCTCCCCCGAGGACAGCTCCAGGTTGTTAGGTACAAAGTCATATTCCACAGAGGGGTAAACTTGTACAATGTTTCCCCTCTTGCCTCTCACATTCAGGTTGTGTATCCGAGTACCATCATATCCAGCTGGCCGCTTCCGAATGGCAAAGGAATGGGATCTGAAACAGCATTAGAATGGTATAGATTCCCAGACAACCTCCCCTTCATGTAAAGTTATGGCTCACTGGGAACTTTTATAAAAGAAGATGAAAAACTGTACCAACCAGTTGAGGATTTAAAATGGGAACCTTCAAACTCCAGATGGACCCTCTATCCAACAGATCTGGTTAATGGCATCAACCCAGTCCAGTTTCACATCAATTTTTACAGATGGTGGAACCTAAGCCTACCGGTAATTCCAGGAATATATTAGTGTAGTCAAAGCTGCACTATTTCACCCAACTCTTGTACTGAAAATCATTATGTGAATCTTATACCTATTCAAACTCTCAATATTTGTCTTTTCACTATTAATACAACATTATCAATTTAAAACAGAAATGACAAAACCTTGCAAAACATTTTAATTAACTTGAAATCGCTTAACATTTCTAATGTAGAGTCCATATAATCTTCCGATTCAATTTAGAATCAAATCTGACTGATCTATTTATGGACGATCATGGCCTGCTTCAAATCATCCAACTGACCTTGACCTTTACCTTAACACATTTTTATTTGACTTTTACATGACCTAGCAGTGACCTACCTATCCTGGAATGTCCTTCCGTACTGTGCTGTGTTGATGGCCAGCTCTAGTGTGAAGTCTGCATCATCAAACACCTTAACATCGGGATATTCCTCAAACACGTAGCCCCTTGCATCCGCTACTGTTTGACTAGCAAACCCATACTTTGGGGCAAGATTGGGGGAGTTGTTGGCAGAGGTCGTATTCCAGGGATCATAGTCATTGGTGGAAATGTTGTATCTGTGGGTCAGAGTTCATTAGTATAGATTATACTGTCAGTAAAAGTGCAGTTAATGCACATTGTTGCTTAGGTGACAATGTGACATTCGTTTTACAACAAAAAGATTTATACACAGGTAAAATATAACTATATATACAGTTGAATTTGCTTCAGAGACCACCCCTGTTAAGGAATAACCTCTGTAGACCACATCCTCAGCCCCACAAGCAGGCTACTACCCAGGTATATCAATACTCGTTTAAGAGACCACCTCTGATAAGAGACCATTCTTTAACTTTCCCTTTGATGGTCTCACAATACAGATTTGACTTTATCCGACTTATATTCAAATGTTATGGAATAAAAAGTGAGAATTATTTTTTTATAAATGTTTGTGTATGATGAAATGTTCAACCAGAAATGGAACCATGCTACACCATCATAAAGTAAACTGCTTTAAATCACCATATTGACTGCATCTACTGTGGCTAGCACATGAAACGCTAAAAAAAGGAATTAACGTAGTTTTAACTTATTTTATTCTGAACGCAGGCATATCTTTATTCAGATCATAGTCCATATTCAATGTTTTCTCTTGGAATCATGAAATTTAAAGACAATATTTAACTAGAAACAAAATCAATTCCTGATTTAATCCTTGAAGTAGGAAATTAAAATTATTAAATTTGAAGCTGTGAGGTTATGATGATAAACATTTGAATTAAGTTATTTGAGATTTACCTCATTCTTAGTACACAATTTTCATGGTTGACATTTGGGATGGTCCAGTTATAGACATTAGGGTGGCCACCAAGACCATTACCAAGGTGGTTGTCACGAGAAAACTCGGTCTCCCGACAGTCAGGGGGAGACAATCCGTGAGAGGAAAACTCCTTCCAAATACCTCTCACACCATTGGGGTCGCCAGAGGGATATGTAAATTCCTACAAACAAAAAGAAAACAAGATGAAAAAAAAATGAAAAAATTTTTTAGTTCCATTTAACTACCAGAAAATTAAATATTAATGAAGTACAAAGATAAAAATCTTACAGATCACACCTTAACACATGTAGTTGTACCATTTACTCAAACAAAACACCAAAAGTGTTCCTAATATCGTAATCTGTGAACTATTTTCATGACTAATGTCAGATGTCACTTCAACAAATTAAATTTCTTGATGTTTGCACACCACAAGGATGACGTATTTCCCTTACCTCGCAGTCCTGTTTGTTATTCGGGATGGTAAAGGCTTTGTATTTCTTGAGGATCAGTTCCTGAGGGAGTTGGCATGCCCATCGTGACTTGACGTTTTCACTCTCCCGTTGGTAGTACACACACCGACTTACATTATTGGTCATTACAACGACATCCTAGGTACATAAAGTTGTTTATTTTTTACCAGCTGCATGACCCTATGTGAACTTTGCGGGTTATAATTCAATCATTCAATAAAGAAAAGTAAGTTAGTAATATTGCAAGCAGGTGATTGTAACGAATATTTATAACATCAATTCTTGGGTATTTCAGTTTTTTGCACTACTGGAATACAACCAATGAAAACAATCCATGAAAAATCCTTGATACAGAGAAAGAAAAACCCTGATAAGATCAAATACTTATGACAAAAAGCCATGAGATTTTCACTAAATATTCATAGCCACAACCAATTATATATCACTGAAATGATTATATCAGCTCTTCATATCTTTTATTTCATGTTTCATACGTTTGAAAAATGTCAATTAACTGAATATTTAGCAATATATTTTAGCTACAGCAATTAAAACTTTAGAAATTTTGAAAGGTTTCGCAAAATATAGAAAACATACTTGTAACACCAACTTTCTTCACACTAAAATAAAAAGCCTTTTATTGGTGAGTAATTTTTCTAATTACCTTCCAAGGTGACGGGTGCCAGTAGGGGTAGTAATCTCGTTCCTCAGGACACTCGTAACCACGGCGATTGCCATTTGGATTCTGACGTGTATTCACAGCATACTGCCTATTACGTTGTTTCAAATTCTAAAATAAATTATAACCGAAAAAAAAATTGTATTACTATGGCTAAGACTCTGCTATAAATATTTCTGTTTACCTTATAAGACTGTAAATATCCATATGCTACCAAGTAAGGAAACAAGAGACCCCTGGACCTTTAAGCGGTCACCTGAGTTATATCATAGGTACTGGTAGCTCTATTTCATTATTGAGATGTGATGTGGAAATCAACATGTAAACAAAATGAAATACAATACTCGTTATGTCACCATAGGATAAGAACTCTAAAAACTATTCAAATACATTATTTTGCTGTTGACAAGTATAATATCTATTATTATTTAGCCAATTTTCCTCTCTGGCCAACCCCTGGGATAGGACAGGATCTTATATTTTTAGTTTCTGATACTATTTGATTTCAATTTCATTATAAATATTCCAACTAAGTCAGAAGTGTTATTTCCCTATATAAACCAAGGAGAACAGATGACCAAAGGGAAAATATAAAACAAGGAGAACAGATGGCAAAGGGGAAATATAAACCAAGGAGAACAGATGCCAAAGGGTAAATATAAACCAAGGAGAACAGATGACCAAAGGGAAAATATAAAACAAGGAGAACAGATGGCAAAGGGGAAATATAAACCAAGGAGAACAGATGACCAAAGAGGATATATAAACCAAGGAGGACAAATGACCAAAGGGGAAATATAAACCAAGGAGAACATGACAAAAGGTAAATATAAACCAAGGAGAACAGATGACAGGGTAAATATAAACCAAGGAGAACAGATGACCAAAGGGAAAATATAAACCAAGGAGAACATGACAAAAGGTAAATATAAACCAAGGAGAACAGATGACAGGGTAAATATAAACCAAGGAGAACAGATGACCAAAGGGGAAATTTAAACCAAGGAGAACAGATGCCCAAGGGTAAATATAAACCAAGGAGAACAGATGACCAAAGGGAAAATATAAACCAAGGAGAACATGACAAAAGGTAAATATAAACCAAGGAGAACAGATGACAGGGTAAATATAAACCAAGGAGAACAGATGACCAAAGGGAAAATATAAAACAAGGAGAACAGATGGCAAAGGGGAAATATAAACCAAGGAGAACAGATGACAAAGGGTAAATATAAACCAAGGAGAACAGATGACAAAAGGGAAATATAAACCAAGGAGAACAGATGACCAAAGAGGATATATAAACCAAGGAAAACAAATGACCAAAGGGGAAATATAAACCAAGGAGAACATGACAAAAGGTAAATATAAACCAAGGAGAACAGATGACCAAAGGGGAAATATAAACCAAGGAGACCAGATGCCCAAGGGTAAATATAAACCAAGGAGAACAGATGACAAAGGGGAAATTTAAACCAAGGAGAACAGATGCCCAAGGGTAAATATAAACCAAGGAGAACAGATGACAAAAGGGAAATATAAACCAAGGAGAACAGATGACCAAAGGGAAAATATAAACCAAGGAGAACATGACAAAAGGTAAATATAAACCAAGGAGAACAGATGACCAAAGGGGAAATATAAACCAAGGAGAACAGATGACCAAAGAGGATATATAAACCAAGGAGAACAAATGACCAAAGGGGAAATATAAACCAAGGAGAACAGATGACAAAGGGTAAATATAAACCAAGGAGAACAGATGACAAAGGGGAAATATAAAGCAAGGAGAACAGATGACAAAGGGGAAATATTAACCAAAGAGAACAGATGACCAAAGGGGAAATATAAACCTAGGAGAACAGATGACCAAAGGGGAAATATAAACCAAGGAGCACAGATGGCCAAAGGGGAAATATAAACCAAGGAGAACAGAAGACCAAAGAGGATATATAAACCAAGGAGAACAAATGACCAAAGGGGAAATATAAACCAAGGAGAACTGATGACCAAAGGGGAAATATAAACCAAGGAGAACAGATGACCAAAGGGGAAATATAAACCAAGGAGAACATATGACCAAAGGGGAAATATAACCAAGGAGAACAGATGACCAAAGGGTAAATATAAACCAAGGAGAACAGATGACCAAAGGGGAAATATAAACCAAGGAGAACAGATGACCAAAGGGGAAATATAAACCAAGGAGAACAGATGACCAAAGGGGAAATATAAACCAAGGAGAACAGATGACCAAAGGGGAAATATAAACCAAGGAGAACAGATGACCAAAGGGGAAATATAAACCAAGGAGAACAGATGACCAAAGGGGAAATATAAACCAAGGAGAACAGATGACCAAAGGGGAAATATAAACCAAGGAGAACAGATGACCAAAGGGGAAATATAAACCAAGGAGAACAGATGACCAAAGGGGAAATATAAACCAAGGAGAACAGATGACCAAAGGGGAAATATAAACCAAGGAGAACAGATGACCAAAGGGGAAATATAAACCAAGGAGAACAGATGACCAAAGGGGAAATATAAACCAAGGAGAACAGATGACCAAAGGGGAAATATAAACCAAGGAGAACAGATGACCAAAGGGGAAATATAAACCAAGGAGAACAGATGACCAAAGGGGAAATATAAACCAAGGAGAACAGATGACCAAAGGGGAAATATAAACCAAGGAGAACAGATGACCAAAGGGGAAATATAAACCAAGGAGAACAGATGACCAAAGGGGAAATATAAACCAAGGAGAACAGATGACCAAAGGGGAAATATAAACCAAGGAGAACAGATGACCAAAGGGGAAATATAAACCAAGGAGAACAGATGACCAAAGGGGAAATATAAACCAAGGAGAACAGATGACCAAAGGGGAAATATAAACCAAGGAGAACAGATGACCAAAGGGGAAATATAAACCAAGGAGAACAGATGACCAAAGGGGAAATATAAACCAAGGAGAACAGATGACCAAAGGGGAAATATAAACCAAGGAGAACAGATGACCAAAGGGGAAATATAAACCAAGGAGAACAGATGACCAAAGGGGAAATATAAACCAAGGAGAACAGATGACCAAAGGGGAAATATAAACCAAGGAGAACAGATGACCAAAGGGGAAATATAAACCAAGGAGAACAGATGACCAAAGGGGAAATATAAACCAAGGAGAACAGATGACCAAAGGGGAAATATAAACCAAGGAGAACAGATGACCAAAGGGGAAATATAAACCAAGGAGAACAGATGACCAAAGGGGAAATATAAACCAAGGAGAACAGATGACCAAAGGGGAAATATAAACCAAGGAGAACAGATGACCAAAGGGGAAATATAAACCAAGGAGAACAGATGACCAAAGGGGAAATATAAACCAAGGAGAACAGATGACCAAAGGGGAAATATAAACCAAGGAGAACAGATGACCAAAGGGGAAATATAAACCAAGGAGAACAGATGACCAAAGGGGAAATATAAACCAAGGAGAACAGATGACCAAAGGGGAAATATAAACCAAGGAGAACAGATGACCAAAGGGGAAATATAAACCAAGGAGAACAGATGACCAAAGGGGAAATATAAACCAAGGAGAACAGATGACCAAAGGGGAAATATAAACCAAGGAGAACAGATGACCAAAGGGGAAATATAAACCAAGGAGAACAGATGACCAAAGGGGAAATATAAACCAAGGAGAACAGATGACCAAAGGGGAAATATAAACCAAGGAGAACAGATGACCAAAGGGGAAATATAAACCAAGGAGAACAGATGACCAAAGGGGAAATATAAACCAAGGAGAACAGATGACCAAAGGGGAAATATAAACCAAGGAGAACAGATGACCAAAGGGGAAATATAAACCAAGGAGAACAGATGACCAAAGGGGAAATATAAACCAAGGAGAACAGATGACCAAAGGGGAAATATAAACCAAGGAGAACAGATGACCAAAGGGGAAATATAAACCAAGGAGAACAGATGACCAAAGGGGAAATATAAACCAAGGAGAACAGATGACCAAAGGGGAAATATAAACCAAGGAGAACAGATGACCAAAGGGGAAATATAAACCAAGGAGAACAGATGACCAAAGGGGAAATATAAACCAAGGAGAACAGATGACCAAAGGGGAAATATAAACCAAGGAGAACAGATGACCAAAGGGGAAATATAAACCAAGGAGAACAGATGACCAAAGGGGAAATATAAACCAAGGAGAACAGATGACCAAAGGGGAAATATAAACCAAGGAGAACAGATGACCAAAGGGGAAATATAAACCAAGGAGAACAGATGACCAAAGGGGAAATATAAACCAAGGAGAACAGATGACCAAAGGGGAAATATAAACCAAGGAGAACAGATGACCAAAGGGGAAATATAAACCAAGGAGAACAGATGACCAAAGGGGAAATATAAACCAAGGAGAACAGATGACCAAAGGGGAAATATAAACCAAGGAGAACAGATGACCAAAGGGGAAATATAAACCAAGGAGAACAGATGACCAAAGGGGAAATATAAACCAAGGAGAACAGATGACCAAAGGGGAAATATAAACCAAGGAGAACAGATGACCAAAGGAGAAATATAAACCAAGGAGAACAGATGACCAAAGGGGAAATATAAACCAAGGAGAACAGATGACAAAGGGTAATATAACTAACAGTTTATATAATACACCTAAGGGCATTTCCGTCCAAAAAATTAATATTTGAATCTTCTACCATCTGAGTGCAGAGGTTTTTTAAATATCAGCCATTTTCCCCTTTTTGGCCCACCCCTCCAGCCCTTGGGGAAAGGACGGATCTTATTTTTCCAAATTGATAATGCACCTACGGACCTTTCTATCCATGAAGCGTATTTGTTTGTAACACATCTGAGTCTGATGAAGAAGCTTTTTGAACTTTTAACCATTTCCCCCATTCGGGCCCCACCCCTCCAGCCCCTGGGGATGGGGCAGCATCTGATTTTCTCATACCATCTAATTGCCATCTGGCATCATAATCATTCTAACCAAGTATTAATAATTTCCAGCTAAAAATTGACAAAATATGCCAAAAAGAGTTATTTCCCTATATAAACTAAAGTAAACTTGACCCCCTCCCCAAGGGAGACCGGATCGCCCGGGGAACTGAATTTACAATTTACATAAAGCCCCTGATGATCTTTCCAACCATGCAGAGAAACTGACTGTAGTACCTCTGTGTCTCGAGAAGAAGACTTTTGAAATATTTGTTTATTTTCTCTTTGGAGCCCCACCCTAGCCCCTGGGGTTGAGACAGGAATCCCAATTTTATAATTTGATATCATCTTCCTCCAATGATGATTCTAACCAGGTAAGAATAATTTCCTATTGAAAATGAACAAAATATACCCAAAAGTGTTATTTCCCTATATAAACTATAGTAAACTTGATCCCCTTCTCAAGGGAGAACGGATAGCCCGGGGGTACTGAAATTTACAATTTACAGAAAGCCCTTGGTGATCTTTCCATCCATGCAGAGAAATTGACTGTAGTATCTCTGAGTCTGGAGAAGAAGATTTTTGAAATATTGTTTAATTTTCCCTTTGGTCCCGCCCTGGCCCCAGGGGTTGGGGTAGGAATCCCAATTTTACAATGTTGTAGCCTCATCTACCAAGGATGATTCTGACTAAGTTTGATTTTTTTTTTATCATCTGGTTCTTGAGAAGAAGTAGAAAATGTAAAAAGATTACACATGACGTACGACGGACGACGAAATGCGATCAGAATAGGTCACTTGAGCAAAGCTCAGGTGACCTAAAAACAGAAGTTGCCCTAGACACAACGTCCTTAAAAAATAATTTAGGGTAAGTGCATACCACTGGTTTACCAACTGTCAGTGTAATATCACCAGGTAGAGCACTGTGCTAGGTACTTTCAGAATGGTATTTTGGTGAGGTAGCTCTCTAAAGTCGGAATCAGACCATGCTACCAAAAGGAGGCAACTGTATACTGTAAACTTAGTCCAGTCAAATATTCGCCCTCTGCCGATAAAGTCCATCTTTGCCAAGTCAGGGTACTGTAAACTTAGCCCAGTCAAGTATTCTCCCTCTGACGATAAAGTCCATCTTTGCCCAGTCAGGGTACTGTAAACTTAGTCCAGTCAAGTATTCGCCCTCTGACGATAAAGTCCATCTTTGCCCAGTAAGGGTACTGTAAACTTAGTCCAGTCAAGTATTCGCCCTCTGACGCTAAAGTCCATCTTTGCCCAGTCAGGGCACTATAAACTTAGCCCAGTCAAGTATTCGCCCTCTGACGATAAAGTCCATCTTTGCCCAGTCAGGGTACTATAAACTGCATGCTGTGTACTAACTGTCATGATAAATTTTCTCTCATTTTGGAGGACGAAAAACGAAAATGTCCCAGTATGCAGTACATCAACATATCCTGCCTCTGGCACACTTGCACATGAAGGTACATCCTAAAAGACTTTAGCTCTTAATAGGACACTAAACCCTATAAATGGAAAAAAAACTATAACGGAATCATTCACAACTGTAAACAAACCCTGTAAAAAACCTAGACCGGAATCAGTCACATCTGTCAACAAACCCTGTAAAAAACCTAGACCGGAATCATTCACAACTGTAAACAAACCCTGTAAAAAAACCTAGACCGGAATCAGTCGGATCTGTCAACAAACCCTGTAATAAAAAAAAACTATACCGGAATCAGTCACACCTGTCAACAAACCCTGTAAAAAACCTAGACTGGAATCAGTCACATCTGTCAACAAACCCTGTAAAAAAACTTAGACTGGAATCAGTCACATCTGTCAACAAACCCTGTAAAAAACCTAGACCGGAATCAGTCACATCTGTCACCAAACCCTGTAAAAACCCTCGACCGGAATCAGTCACAGCTGTCAACAAACCTTGTAAAAACCCTAGACCGGAATCAGTCACAGCTGTCAACAAACCTTGTAAAAACCCTAGACCGGAATCAGTCACAGCTGTCAACAAACCCTGTAAAAAACCTAGACCGGAATCAGTCACATCTGTCAACAAACCCTGTAAAAACCCTCGACCGGAATCAGTCACAGCTGTCAACAAACCTTGTAAAAACCCTAGACCGGAATCAGTCACAGCTGTCAACAAACCCAGTAAAAATCCTCGACCGGAATCAGTCACAGCTGTCAACAAACCCTGTAAAAAACCTAGACCGGAATCAGTCACAGCTGTCAACAAACCCTGTAAAATTCCTCAACCAGAATCAGTCACAGCTGTCAACAAACCTTGTAAAAACCCTAGACCGGAATCAGTCACAGCTGTCAACAAACCCTGTAAAATTCCTCAACCAGAATCAGTCACAGCTGTCAACAAACCTGTCACACATTTGCATAGATGTAATTGCTAACAACTTCTGTTACAAGTCACAAAGCATAGAATTTGTATAAATTTATTTTTATCTTATACAGCAAATCTTTATGACAAAGATAGGACCTATATAAACACAAACAAGAGGCCCAATGGGCCTGCATCGCTCACTTGGTATTAATCTCACACTTGTAATCTTAAAAGTGGACTAAAATACAGCTACAGGCAGAATATCAGTGTCTGATTTATAAGAACCTATGAAAAGATTTAAACATATGATGCCTGTGACCTTGAATGTTGAACAAGAACATTAGGTTGAAAGTGGATCAAGGTCATTCATTTGAACAAACTTAGTAGCCCTTCATCCCAGCATGCTACAGGCTCATTTTCAGTACCCTGGGCCTTTTGGTTATTGAGAAGTGTTTTGAAGATTTTAGGACAATTGACCCCTGTGACCTTGAAAGTGGGTCAAGGTCATTCATTTTGACAAACTTAGTAGTCCTTCATCCCAGCATGCTACAGGCCCAATAGCAGTACCCTGGGCCTTTTGGCTATTGAGAAGAAGTTTTTTGAAGATTTTACCACATTTGACGCATGTGACCTTGAAAGTGGGTCAAGGTCATTCATTTTGACAAACTTAGTAGTCCGTCATCCCAGCATGCTACAGGCCCAATAGCAGTACCCCGGGCCTTTTGGTTATTGAGAAGAAGTGGTTTGAAGATTTTACGACATTTGACCCATGTGACCTTGAAAGGGGGTCAAGGTCATTCATTTGAACAAACTTGGTAGCACTTCATCCCAGCATGTTACTGGCCTAACATCAGTACCTTGGGCCTTTTGATTATTGACAAGAAGTTGTTTGAAGATTTTAAGACATTTGATCCCTGTGACCTTGAAAGTGGATCAAGGTCATATATTTGAACAAACTTGGTAGCCCTTCATCCCAGCATGCTGCAGGCCTTATATCAGAACTCTGGGCCTTTTGGCTATTGAGAAAAAGTTGTTTAAAGATCTTAACACATTTGACCCCTGTGACCTTAAAAGTTGGTCAAGGTCATTCATTTGAACAAACCTGGTAGCCCTTCATCCCAGCATGCTATAGGCCCAATATCAGTACCCTGGGCCTTTTGGTTTTTGAAAAGAAGTCATTTTAAGATTTTAACATATTTGACCCCTATGACCTTGAACGTTGGTCAAGGTCATTCATTTGAACAAACTTGGTAGTCCTTCATCCCAGCATGCTACAGGCCCAATTTCATTACCCTGAGCCTTTTGGTTATTGAAAAGAAGTTGTTTGAAGATTTTATGACATTTGACCCCTGTGACCTTGAAAGTGGGTCAAGGTCATTCATTTGAACAAACTTGGTAGCCCTTCATTCCAGTTTGCTTCAGACCAAATATCATCACCCTAGGCCTTTTGGTTACTAAGAAGAAGTTGTTTAAAGTAAAATATTGACGCCAGATGGACAGGCCAGGTGAGCTAAAAATTGTAATATTTGAAACAGACGGTTACCTGGTCTGCAGTAAAGAGTCCCTTGTTACGCTGCCTCATACGACAGTTGCTATAGTGATGGATATCCTCGTTCATACCATACTGCTTGTCTGTGTTACAGTCAAAGTTTTCACACTCGTTCTGATTGCTTGCCTCTGGAATGGTCCTTAAAACAAACACATACTTGTCATTTAACTTTTTTGTTTTTCATCGAAATGCAAAAGATTAAAATCTGAATTTTAGGTTGATTTGTGTGCAGCTGACTTTGAATTTTCAGCCTTATATCTTCATTAATATCAGACTCAATTTGGACATAAGTCAAAGTGATACTCTCTGCTTCTCCTTAGAACTAACTTTTGATTAGAACAGGCTTAGGTTCACTAATTTTATTCAGAATATGCACAAAGAAAATTCTTCATAAATAGCAAAATTACAATTCTGGACAGAAATGTACAAAGATAAGTTGCAAATTTTTTTTTCCTCTTACATCAATTGCCATCATTCACTTTGTGATGGCTCTAACTGATCATCCCTATAGTTACTTTGT